ACTGACAGGGCAGCCAGGCGCGTGGCAAGGAGCCCAGCACCTCTGCCCACAGAGAGAGCAGGGGGCGCCCACACAGAGAGCAGGGGGCGCCCACACACCGCCAGGCCACGTGACCGGAGAGGTGCTGTGAACTAGGGCAAAGTCACTGAGCAACCCCTGGGGGGAGGCCACAACAGGGCTGTACAGTGATCACAGAAAACGACTAATTATTTCTAATTAAGAATGTGTTCGGTTGTAGTCTTTTATCCAAAGCCACTAACATTTGGATCCATTAATAAAGCTGGGTATTTCACTCAAACACCTTGCTCAGGGATACAACTGCAGTGTGTCACCAGGGATTCGAACCTGCAACCTTCCAGTTACTGACCCTGCGCCACACTGCCACTCTGCCTCCCCTCAGACAGTCCGCAGCTTCCATGGAAACCACACCTGGGAGGCCCAGACACTCACTCCCGACTGCCTGCTATTCCAGGAATGCCTACAACCCCCCCCTCCCCCCTTCACAGACCGACATCCCCCCCCCGTGCTCGTGCTGCCCCTGGTGGAGAACCCCCAGCACACACGCCCCGGGCAAAGTGTGTGGCAGCACCCTCTCCCCGCTGCGCTGCGGTTGCGCTGCCCCCTTCTGGCGGCTCAGAGGATGAACTGGCAAAGGACATGAAAGGAAAGGGAAAGAGACACAGCGTTTCGGCTGTGGAGCCACTGCAGGAGAATTACAGACCCAGACCACCGATTTGGCCGCTGGCACAAGACCCTTTCCTGCCTTCTTCCCACTGAAGGCAAGAGGTCAGGAACGCCATGACGCTCCCTGGCAACAAAGTCACAGGTCCAACCAGCAGTCCGCAAAGTCCACACACACACCCTCATGGGCCTGCAGCAGGCCTCACAAGCTCACAGCCCGCAGCAGTCTGTCCCCAGTGCCCCAGCGCCGGCCACACGCAATTTAAGACCTTCTCTTCTGCCGTTCTGGACAATCCCTCATAACAACGGGCGTGAACAAGTGCTGATTCTCCAACGCAGCTTTTTTTCGAAATTCTGTGTATGAATTCTCAGGGATTCTATTTTAGGTATTTCAGGGGTCTGTAAATGTTTTCACAGTCTTCCAAAGCCTTTGCCAGGTGGTTCAAGTGACTGATCATGGCTTCATTTCAAGACTGTTGTGCTTTAAGAATGAAAGGGCTATACCTCCCCCTAGTGGCCACAGTCAATACTGCGTTTACCCGCTGAGCAAACACGTCAGCAGCTTTCATCCGCCAAGCAGACAGAGAGCGGAAGACACTCAAACACAAAGACAAACGAGAGAGAGTGGCACTGCAGGGCCTTCTACTGCTCAACACCGTTTGAACAGCCAAGCAGGACCAGGCAGAGATGCCCAGGCTGACATAAGGAGAGAGGAAGGCCGAGAGCAGGGAGAGACAGGCAGCGGCACGGACAGCGTTACCAGTGGTGCTCCTGCTCCATGGCAGCTCCACCATGAGCTCCAGGTAGTTGCGGGTCAGGGCGTACTCCGGCATGGACTGGGGCATCTTCTTCAGCCTGCGGGCAGGGAGACAGTCCTCAGCCGGCGGCACATTCCCACAGGGAGGAAGGGCTCAGGCAGAGGGGAGCAGGGGAAGGAGCAGAGGTTTGTCCCACACTACCGTACTGTGAACTACCCCGAGAGAACGGTGGATTAAGAACCCCAATGTACATGTGGATATGGCAAATAAACTCCTCTCTCTCTCTCACTGTCCCGGAGGAGGAAAGAAGAAAAAACAGCCTTCTCCAGCCAGGAGGAATCACCTGCTGCTTGTTCCTTCACATAGGCAAACGTCTGAAAACCACAGGTGTACTCCACAGGTAAAACATTCTCCCTGCTTTCTGGCGAGCCTGTGCATTTCTGTCCCTGTCACGCTCCTCGTTTCGGCCGAGCTCTGCGACGCTGGGGAGCGGGTTCGGGGGGGGGGCTGTAAGCCTACCTCTTCAGCTCCTTCAGGCAGACGCGCAGGGCAGGCTCCGGCATGCTGGCCCCCCGGATCTTCCTCTCCAGCAGGGCCATGTCGTCGCTGTCCTCCTCCTCCTCGTCCTCGTCCTCCAGGGAGAAGCGATGGCCGGGGAAGGGGCTGCCGCGCCGCACCGGCAGCAGCTGGGAGAGGGCAGACAGAGCAGGAGACAGTTTCCAGTTTATCAGGGGAGATCAAACTGGGGTACGGGGGTCCGAGGGGGCGCCGGAGAGGCTCACCCGCTTGTCCTCCTCCAGCCGGGGCTTCCTGGTCTTCTGCAGGAGCCGGAGCCCCTCGATCTGCCGCGACAGCAGGGGCAGGGTCTTCTTAAAGCGCTCCTCCAGCCCCACGGCGTCCAGAACCTGCCATTGATCACACGGCAACCTGAGACACCGGGGTCACCTGCCCGGA